GTCTACACAGTATCAGGAAAAAATACTGAATAATGTGAGTTGCAACAGAAGTAATGAAAGCATCGCAAATGTGGTTAATTCAATGGATTTTTAAAATTCCGTTACATATACAGATCTCTGTTATAAAACATGTTCATTACAATAGTTTGGCATTACAACGTAACATCAACATTCCCTGCCGCATAATTTGTCCTGTTGGACAACATCTTATTTTTGAAACCGCTTGATTGCTTATGAAATGTTGCCAACTGTTGAAAGTTAAGTGCATCTTGGGGTCAAATGTTTCTCTAGGCGGGACTGAAGCAGGGTGCTCTCAAAGGCATCCCGCTTGCCTTAATTCTGTTCTCTCTTTATAAACACTTATTCCTTTACCTTCATTCTTTTCAAAGGATTATTCAGCTCTCGCTGGAACGAAGCGGCTCTTCCTGAAAGAAAGGTCTGAAAGGCAGCGGCCAACAAACTTTCATACTTTTCAAGGAGCGTTTTGTCTTCAGGAGGGTAAATTCGTCTACAATAGAATCAGATAAAAGCAACTTGTTTAAAAGGAGCTACTGCCCAGCCGGGCGTGGCTCAGCGGTTGAGCATCGACCTAGGATCCAGGTGATCGGGGTTCGATTCCCGGTCAGGGCACATGCCCGGTTGCGGGCTGCAGCCGATCAGTGACTCTCATCATTGATGTTTCTATCCCTCTCTCTTCCTCTCTCTGAAATCAATAAAGATATATTTTTTTAAAAAAATTAACTTTATAAAAAGGAGCTACTAACAGACTGACAGCCGTCGGGGGCAGGGTGATTCCCACGCGCAACTCACAGACTCGGCCAACAGCCTGGCGACAGCCAGAGCGTGGAAAGGGGGGCGCGGTGGGTGGAGGTGGGCAAAGGGGGAGGCGATGGGCACGGAGAGAGACTTTGCTGGGGCGACGGGCACACGATGCAGCATGCAGATAACGTTTCGTTGAGTCATGTACTTGAAACCTGTACGGTTTTGTGAACCAATGTCACCCCAGTAAATTCAATTAAAAAAAAAAAAAAGAAGCAGCTATTATAGTGTAAGAGTTAAGGTCAACTACATAGATAATCCTTGACCATCTATTCTGCCTTTACTGAGCGCTGGAAATAAAGACGAACAGTTATGAAAAATCCATAAATTTTCACCTGCCACACACACAAATGAAAGTTTACCTAGAGAATTATCGTAAGCAGTGCCACTCCGGATGATGCAGTGTAAGGGTGTGTAGTGGGAGATCGTGGCTGGGAAATCACTGCGATTGGGCCTACTGAAGAAATCCAGAACTTCATGGCAGAAAGTTCAGGCGACGAGGGAAAACACGGGAGTTTGGATGGAGTGCGGTTACTGAGGTATACAAGAGCGCAGAGATGAACCCTGATGACTGCTTGGGGTGGTGGAACGTCCCCAGGGCTCTGGTGGGGGGAACTGGGGAGAGGGAGGGTGACAGGAAAGGTGCTGTTTGCCACTCCTGCTGGTGGTGCTCAGGCGTGGAGGGAATGGCCTACCATGAGCGCAAGTAGCTCTGTGGCCCCAAATCCTCCTAAGTCTGCCGAGTCCTTGCCAAAGCTTGGGAGGAGGGACAGTCTTTCTAAGAACACAAGGAGCTCAGGGAGTCTCCTTTTATCCCGTCCAAGCTGATACTGTGGAAGGGATTCCAGTGCAGCAGAGCCCACACCCTTTCTGCTGTCTCACACTGGGCGCCTTCAAACATTCTCATTATTTGCCTAGTTCCTGATACATTAGAGTTTAACACAAAATATAGCAACCGCTTTGAATTGACAGAAATACTAGAAGATCTGAAACCTGACTTCTTCAAAATACATTATAGCCAAATCGGATTTAAAAGACCTCACATAAGCACCCCAGAGGCGGGGTAGCAGGAGCCTCCCAAGTCTGAACCATCTACTTGCTGTCTGCATTTCCATGCTAGAAAAACATCGAACAAAAGCACTTTCTTCAAATAAAATAAACAGTGCTTAAAACAAGCCGAAAGGGTTAAAAAATGTAGACTCATTATGTTTGACACTTCGCATGTACAATCCATATCAAAAATAAAAAAGAAGCGCACTTACCTGTAATTCCCCATATGTCGGTTTTCATGTTCTTCTTTAGAGATCTGCTTTCGTACTTGAGCAAGTCTCTCTTTCTAGAAATAAAGAAATCTCACAAATAAAACCTGACAAATGAATTATGCAATTCAAACCGTGGGTGTGTTAAAATTTTCATACCAACTCTTCTTTCCGCCTCTCCAGCTGATGTCTCTGCTGTTCCCAGTCTGAGGAGCCTGGTAAGAGCCTTTTTATTGAATTTTGACCGTAAAGCCTCCTTTGAGCCTCAGCTTTTTGTTTGGCCAAGTTTCTCCTTTTATCACTGGTCCTAAAATATAAAACACAAGACCATGTTCTAGAATTCAAATAAGCTCTGATCTTATCCCTGCGAGGAAAACTAGCAGAAGAAACGGTGAAGATAGGAAATCAGTGCTTATTAAATTATATATTCACGTACACTGCATTCATCTAATCAACCACCAAATAAGGGTCTCCCCACAGTAAAGAGAAGTATTGAAGGTAACAAAATAAAATGAAAACAGTGTAACAGCTTACTAGCTGCACAATCTTAGGTCAGTTATCTGCTGAGTCTGTTTCCCCATCGATTAAATGTTAACAATAATGTTTCTCTCCTGCAGTTCTTAAAAAGATTAACTTGTGGTAACACTAATAGGTCCTTAATAAATGTTGGTTCCTGTCTCCTCCTTCAACCAACTGCATTTACACTTAAGCATTCTCACTTGCACTGACCACTCCTTAGTACATTTTCAATTCTGACTGAAATCCTAGCTTAACAATCATCACTTATTTGAAAACTTCTGCATAGGCCTTTTCATTTTTGCCCCATCATGAAAATTTAGTTACAGCTGCCTGACTTCTATAGGAAAGGTCCTATTGTGCGACTGCTTTCCTCTGAAACTCGTTCCTCTCTCTTCTTTCCCAAGTAGCTGGCGAGTTACTGTTTAATGGGTACAGTTTCAGTTTTGCGCAATAAAAAAGTTCTGGAGATGGATGGTGGTGATGGTGGAACGACAGTGTACACGTACCTAATGCCACTGACTCGCACACTTAAAAATGGTTCATAGTAAATTTTATGTTAGGTATATTTTATTAAAAATTTTTTAAAATGAGTGGACATTCACCAGGGGAACAAAGCTAAAAGTACATTTAAATGAGAACACGTGCAAAACCATGAGACAGCACCACACAAGCATTTTTAGAAAAATTAATTATAAGGCAGCAAAAAAAACAAAAAGTGATCCTATTGATGAGAGGTGCAAAGGCCAGATCAAACTCTGTCTCATATACAATCCAACCATCCAAAAAGCCTTGATGCAGTGTTTAAACTTTACCTGACTGTGAAAACAGTGTGATGAGAATATGAGAATTTATAAAGATCTCTTCAAATATTGGCACTCCTCAGGGCTCTGCCCAGGCCCCCCTTTACCTCTCAGTTATGCACCCCAACTGTGTGCTCTCATCCATTAGACTCAACAACAATCCGTACATGGGTGTCAGTCACACAGACAAGTCTGTCTCCTGGGGGGCTGTACGTCAGATTTCCCACTTAACAATTCTGCCTGGGGTCCCACAGCACCTCAAAATCAGCATGTTTAAAAGGGAGCTGTCTCTCGCTACCTTCCCCCATCACTTCTCTAAACCTGTTTCTCACCTAAAATGTTTATCTAAATCAGTGATGTATTGTCAAAAAAGGCATCCAAGCCGGAAGCCTAAGAATCATGAGAGACCCTGAACTCCTACGGCAATGGCAGTGGGCACTCAATAAACACTTGTCAAATGGCCTGCAGAGCAACACAGTGGAGGCTGCAAAAAGGGGTGGAGGTTAGTGCTGGACAAAGGAAGAAAACAAACACTCCAGAGAGAAATGAGAATCCTTAAACTTGGCGAGACCAAGAAATTAAGTGATAGTCATACATTTGCCAGGATTCAGTTGATTCATAATAAAGGAAGGAGATAAAGATAACTCCCAGCTTTCTAGCCTGGACGTTTATATGGATGGTTTTACCATTAACTAGCAAAGCAAAGAAAGACAAAAGACCAGGTTTGAGTGATTGTAATTGTAAGTACTTTTCTGTGAGCATATAGTTCCCCTTTTAATAACTGAGCTACTTAAGGAGAGAAAATTGTACTCATTTTTCTCTCTCTAGCTTCTAGGACAATATAAGCCAAGAATGTGGGTTGGAGGCAATTGACACGGTTAGCAGAAGAAAGGAGAGAAACCCAGCGAGAGAAATATGATTGAAGGAGAAGGTAATTCAACTTCTGGTAATATCGCATTTAACGTGTCATCAGGAGAGTCATCCATTCATTCATTTACAAATTAATCGGGCCGCTATTACACCAGAAACACCCAGTGTAAATGCTCAGCGGAGATCTGCAAATGCAAGACCAGAGCTCGGGAGTGGGTCAGGGCTGTCAAGGGGACCCCCAATCCCTACCTCAATACAGGTGTGGGTCTGAGACACCAGTGTCTGACTCACAAATGATGCCACGGAAGTGGATGAGACTGCCACGGAGGAAAAGACGAGCGAGGCAAGAACGCAGTGAAAAAGAGGACAAGTAGGGGGAAGAAAGTAAATGAAATCACAGGAGACAGAGCCATGCTCAGAGCGGGTGCGGGGGGGAAGGAGTCAATGGGGGGGAGGCATCTGTGTTACTTTCAACAATAAAGATAAATTTTAAAAAAAGAATTAACCAACATTAAGCAAACTCAGAAAATCAAGCGTCAAAGAGGCCAGCAAGGACAAAGTCTCAAGGGCAGGGTAGCATCAAACGCCGCAAACACCACACGGTGTGGCCTGTGAGCGAGTTCGAAATAAGGGTCGGGTCATCTAATGTAACCCAATCTAATCTAAACTAATTAATCGTACGGTACTTCAGACTCACAGAACTCATGAGACTGTAACTATTTTTTCTAGACTCTATTTTAACGATCCTAATACAACAGTTACAGAGAAAAATGATTCTTCTTATCAACACACACACACCCCCTACTATACAAGGTTGCCTTTTCCTTTCATTACAAAAAAACAACTACTTATTTGTTTTACTTATTACTATTTTATTATTTATTCTTCTTCTTCTCCTTGTTCTGCAAGTAGCCCCTCTCGTACTCTCGTTTCTGAAGGCTCCAAGGCAAATGTTTCAGGAAATTATTTGAACTGAAAGGGTGTTGTACCATCCAAGTACAAACGGGATAAATTCGGGTGCCTTTGCTATGAGGGTCGGTCTTCTCGGGGTTGTGATGAAATACCCTGAGCAGCCTAAACTCATCTGGATGTTTTTGAGACTAAAAGCACATATTTGCACGATGAATTCTGGGATACATGAGAGAGAGAGAGAGAGAGAGAGAGAGAGAGAGTGTGTGTGTGTGTGTGTGTGTGTGTGGAGAGAGAGAGAGAGAGAAAACCCTAAGTAAAGTACTGTATTAAGAAGTGTGTCGAATACCAAAGTATATACTCCTTGACTTCAAGGAGCTTAAATCAAATTGAAAGGAAAAATCAGCCATGCCCAAGTGAAAGAGCACAGAGCAGAAGAGAGTAAACAAAGTGATCAGCCACGTCTGATGCGAACTACAATTCCTCTTGGAGCTCAAAGAAAGAAAAGATTAATTTGCTTTAAAAGGAAAAGATCATAATAAAAGATGGAATTTGAGTCATAGTAAGGAAAGCACGTAGGGGAAGGAACAGAATAAATCATCAGTGAGAATGGGCAAGACAGGTGAGAAAATAATGAGACATCAGCTTAACTAACAGTTTGGGGTGGAGACAAATAGGAAATAAGATGGAAAAGCTAAGGCTAAGTTATATTATGAAAGGAGTTTAGATTAAGTGTTGGCAGGAGAAATCCATTTAGGTTCTTGAGCAGAAAGATAACACACACAAAAAAAAGATCATTGTGATAGTCTGATTAAAATGAATGTAAATAGGGAATGACAGAACAATTTATTCTATCCAAAAGTAAAACAGCCCATATAAAAATTAATTCAATAATATTTAATACATAGGCAAGAATTTTCCTAGCAGTCCCAGCTCCTGCTTGTGTCCCCATGATGTGCCCACCTCATACCCCGCCACAGATACTCAAGTCTAACACATACATGCTCGGGGAGCCCTCCATCTGGTGGGAGAGAAAAGGCACAGCTGCTGCATAAGCTTCATTCGGGTATGCTCTGAATGTTAAGAATTGTGCTAAGTTTTCTTAGTGGAACGACACTAAGAAAATTAAGGAAGATGAAGTCCAACTGTCCTTTAGTTTTAAGTCTAGAAATTTCTCACACTGTCTGAATGTATACATCTATCTCACTTTTAAGAAGACCAAAATCACCCGTAGATAAGATCTTGAACTGGTACCATCATTGGCAAAGTCAAAAGACATGCCAAAAAAGAAAAAGAAAAAACAAAAAGCAAACAAACAAGCACCCAAAAACAAAAACAGAAGGCTTACTTATACAATAATAGAAAATGGGAAAAAATAAAAAGGTATAGGCATATTGCTTTTATATCCTAAGAGTCCTGAAACATTGATCAGAAAGAATATATGCAGCCCTATGTTCACAACAGCACAATTTACAATAGCTAAGATCTGGAAACAGCCCAAGTGCCCATCAGTAGATGAGTGGATAAAAAAGTTGTGGGACATTTACACCATGGAATACTATGCAGCTGTAAAAAAGAAGGATCTCGTACCCTTTGGGACAGTACAGATGGACCTGGAGAACATTATGCTAAGCAAAACAAGCCAGGTAGAGAAAGACAAACATCACACGATCTCACTTATATGTGGAATCTAAAGAACTTAATAAACTGATGAACAGAAATGATTCAACGTCATGGAAGCATGGATCAGACTGATGAATGTCAGAGGGATGGAGAAGGGCAGGTGGGTGGGTGGAGGGGGAGAGATTAACCAAAGAGCTCATATGCATATATGCACAACCCAAGGACACAGACAATCGTGTGGTGAGGGACTGGGGAGGGGGGTGGGAAGGGGTGGAATGGTTATTGGGGAGAATAAGGGGCATCTGTAATATTTTAAACAAAAACAAAAAAAGAAAAGAATGTTTGAACAAGTTTATATATGTCTATATATGTCTATTTTTTTTAATGATGCTTCCCATTAAAGCTACTTTTTAATCAGGACTCTGCTAAATGCTTAGAAACATTTAAAATAAATTGTGTGGAAGCATCCTACAACTTCTTTAAAGCTCTTAAAATGACAAGTACAATCAATTGAATCATAAAATCCGTAAGATTAAAAAAACCTTGGAAGGTCCTTCCATCTAACACCCTAAGTGCTGTTTCAACACTTATAATTGCAAACATCTCATAACTTCTCTGAGAAGTTCAGTTAAACTTCTAAAAAATTTATTTCCTTATGAGCCAAAAGCTTTCCCATATAACAGCATTTTGAGCATCTGACATCCATGACCATGTACACTGCCACCGGCAATCCCACTTCTGGGTAAATATCCAAAAGAGCTGACATTGGGATTCAAATAGATCCCTGCATGCCGTATGCATTGCAGCATTATTCACAGTAGCCAAGACAGGGAAGCAACCTAAACGTTCATCACTGAATGAATGGGTGAAGAAAATGTGGTGCAAACACACAGTAGAATATCATTCAGCCTTAAAAATACAGGGGGGCTCCATCTACACTTTTCAATGGGAAGGTTAACCCTCACTGAACAACCACCTCTCTTCTGTTTACCAGGCAGCAAGATACGGTGGGAAGACCTCTGGAGAGACAGGCAGGAAACCCACGTTTGAGATTTTTTACTTGCTGAATGACCTCTGGGCTTTCGTTTCTTCTTATAAGATGAAGAAAGAATCTAGAACATTTCCTAAATTAGTCTCCAATTCAACCTCATACTGTATATTAAATAATTACAGCAATACTCTTACTTAACCATATTTATTGTAAGTTCAGAGCAGTAAATGGGGAGAGGGAAAAACAGTATGTTAGAGAGAAAAAGACGCTTAAAAAGAAAAAAACTAAATGAGTTTGAAGAATAGAATCAAGAAATTCAAAATATAAAATACAAAAAATTTCAAGCCAATCCCATGTACAAATGAATGTCTATGTCAAATGTGGTGAAAATTTCCCAAAACATGGAGGAAATACTATACCTGATGTTTAGCAGCTTCAACGCATTTAGCAACACTCCTCTTTTTACATCATAGTCTATTTTCTGATCAGTTCCAAAGCTTGGAGCTCGATTGATCTAAAATTTACAAAGAAAACAATGAGAGTAGCCAAATGTGGGTAGGCCAATAAATATTCAATACATATTTGTTAATCTAATGTGAGATCCCCAGCCAGCAGAAGGACTCTACAATAAATCTCAAAGCTCTTCATGGGACGTGGCCTGGTTACTATCGCCACGCCTCCCTTCCCCATCGCCCTAAGTCAGGGCGTTGCAAGGAACTGACAGTTATGCCACCCCCTCCCCCTGCAGCCTTGGCTCAGCTATCTGCCCTCTCCCCCCTCTCCACTGTCTCCAACCCACTGCCCCATGCACTCTTAAGTTTAAGTTTAGAGAAGTAAAAGTGAATAATCCTGTATAATGGTAATGTAACAAAAATAATATGCATGTTACCAACATAGTAATAATTATATGTATGTATGTATTTAGATATAGAAACTAACAGTGCCCGCTTTTCACGGCTTCAGATCTTCTGGATAAAGTCATCTATTGTTGACCAAAAAATAAATTTTGTTTCTTCCTACCTGGATCTAACAAGATTTATCAATTTTCATTTCCAAAGGCACAGACTACATATTACTCAAAAGATACCATTAAGGGTGTCTGCACACTAACCTCTACGAGCTTTTCTGACTCTATAAGGACTCACGGGAATAAATGAGCCTTGTGCGGTTGCTCTACTTCATTTCCGACATCATTGCCAGGATTTCATTAAGGCCAAAAATAAAAAGTAACTGTATGTACCCGGAAGTCCATTAGACAATATACTACCACTTCAACAGCTGGAATTTTGCTTTTGTCTTTGTTGTTGAGTTTTGCTGTTGCTGTTATGAAAATGTAACTGGAACAGTGTTTAAAAAAATTACTCAAGTCAATTGGTTAGAACACTGCTGAGTTCAGAACTGCAGCTTAGCTTCATGACCACCAGATAACCCCACAGGCTATCTGAAAACATATATGCTACTGGTCACAGAAGAGGGCTGTCTTATACAAATCCACCGCTCCAAGAAACAAGGTAACTGACAGCATGCATTTTACAACAGTCAGCTGAGGGAAATACCACATTATGCTTATGAAATCATCCAGGAATACAAATGCATCTAATTAGGAATGTGGCAAAGGGTCATGGAGAAAAATTAGGAAATAGAAGCTAAACAAAAAACAGAAAGATCAGCTGTCATCTGGCTACCTAGTGTATTGTTAACCATTTAATAAATGGTATTCCAGATATTTGCTATGCATACATATTTATAACATTTTACCTTCCCAATCCACATCTATATTTAACTATATGATTTTGCAATCTAAGTTTTTTCTCTTAATAGTGTATCATGAATATCTTTCATGCCATCATTTTGATGAGTTCATGATAGACTTTTTATAGATCTATGCCTAACTGTATTATTCCTTTGCTGATTTCTGATTCAGAAGGTGATTAACATATTCCTGTCTTTGCGCTGTGCTCTCAAGGGAAGGGAGTAGCTTGGTAATTGCAAGAACATCTATTTATTCCAGTAATATTCAAGTATTATACAGTATATATTCAAATGCTCTCTCTTAAAAGTGCAGAGAAAGGGTAATGTATTTTATATGAGAAAAGTTTCAACCATTCCATAGTGACTCAAATTTCTAGAATTTGTAATACAATTAATGATAGTTCTGCCACTACCTGTAAGAGACTATAAAATAAACAGACATTTAGGAACTGATGACTAAGTGGTTCGCTGAAATGTTATCTGTACAGAATTCCTTAGGTCCTCCCTTCTAAAATTGCAGTCTGCCAGGCACATCCCTCCTCCAGGATGGTGATGACGTTTGGTAAAACACAATCTCAGACCCCTCTCTCTTATCTATTTCAGATTCTGCCCCCGACTATCACATAAAAGAAACTGGCCTGTGAAGAAATGTACCCAAATAAACTAATACATGAGAAGGTTAAAAAAAACCAAAAAACTTTTTTCAATTAATATTTTGGATTTTTAAAATTTTTATGAGAACAGTAAAGAAAAAAATACAAGAAGATCCACAAATGGCTGACAGAAGAAACTCTAAAAATTAGCATTCTCTAATTCTCATTACCTGCCCCAATTCTAAAACAGACAAAACCTGGTAGATGTCACAGTCTTAAAGCTCAACAGCTTGTAAAATACATGCAAAAGTAAAAATTATTAGAAAGCAAATTAAATTAATAAAAAATTTTTAACTGTTAAAATCAAAACAAGCACAATCATTTCATGTACAAAAAAAAGTATTTGTAATAGATTCTGTGCTCCTAAATTAGTGCTGTTCCTCTGCCCAGTAAGTTCCACCCACCGCACCCCCATTTCTCCCAGCTGCCAGCCCCTATTCTACCTTCTAAAGCCATAAACACATTGCTCTGGGTGTTCCCTCTTCTGCAAAGATTGTTTTAACTCTCAATCACACACACGTACATAGAGAGGTTAACCTCTCTGTTGTTTGTGCGGAATCCTGTTCCCTACTTACACCGACAACATTACCATAAAACACATATCCGAGTCCCCCCCAAGACCAGGACAAGGGTTCTGTTTTATTCTTCTTGTATCCCCACCACCTGGCACAATGACTTATTGAAATTAATTCAAGCATACTTAAAGTATTAGCAGTATATTCATATTCCATCCAGTTTCCACGTTTTTCCCTAAAAATGTTTTCTATGCTTTAAATTTTCTGCAATTTGCCGCTACAGATCATTACTGGCAATTATTCCGGTGAACTGAAAGTTACCACAGTCTCAGAAGCACCTTCTACCTTGCTCCACTGGATGGCACCAAAAGGTCTTTAACGAAATTTCAGAACCAGTACAAGTGCAGCTGGGAGAAGATACCGAGGAGAGATCCACACAAGGTTCTTTACACTGTTTAATATAATTAATGTTCGTTCTCCACAGCTGTTGGCTACTGTGGAGCCTTTTTAATGGTTCTGATTGATCCAGAAATGGTGAAAGAATGAATAGAAAGTGAAAATATGTTAATGTAAACAATGCTATTTAGCCATTGGTTATTGTGAAAATTTTTAAAGGTTCAACGGGACCTGGAAATGGAGAGAATAAAGTTAGGAAGAAGCAGTAATGCAAACAGTGGTATTTTGAGCCTTTAAAAAGTAACAGAATTCAACCATTCGGTCAATTCTGATTTACCAAGCTAAAGCTCCAGTTAGGCCAATGCTTTTAAAAACAGATAACTACCTAAAAAGTCCTTCTTGCCTGACACCCTTTCAGCTCCACCCCATGCACGTGCCTTCACTTCTTCCCCACCCCATCAGGGATAAAAGACAAGTAGCAGGGGTAGAAAAAACACACAGCTAAGAACAGGAAAGGGTGACTGCAGACAAAATAACCACCCTGCGGAAGGCAACGTCAGGCCTTAGGAAAGCAAAGGGCCTATAGTGCAGTCAAGTGCTTTGACAGCCCACGGAGGAAGCTAAGGGATACGCAAAATTCCTCACATTTATCTCATTTCTAGGACGGAAGCAGGAGCAAAATCGGAACACCTGACAGAACTGTGCTTGATTGGAAATATACACATTCGCTCACAGTAGATTCAAAACACACAAGGAACCATTGCCCACCCCCCAAATTGGAAAGGTGTTCTTTCCTAAAAATATATTTTGAATGTTTTGATCTCACCTATCACTTGTTCAATTTGTTTTCACAAGCCTTGATATTAAAGATGTAACTGCCAACTTCTAAATCATTAACAAAAAACAGAGATAATCAACTTAACATGAAAGGCAATCGTTGATTATATCCTCTATAGCAATATATTCCTTAAAAATGTAATTAATCTAATAAGCACGAAATGTTTAGATACGTGCTGTTTTCCTGATAAAGTTTCCTAAACACAGCACTTCGTGGCCATGCACTCTGCGACCCCAGATCAGGGAACTGCTGTGGGTACTACTGGGTCACATGACTTCTAAGGTTCCTTCTGGATATATCATAAATATAAATAAGACTGGAAGAAAACGTACAAAAATCTTAAAAAGAGATCTTTTTTCCACCCTGTATATTACTCTATGTTTTCCAGATGTTAAGTGATCTTTTATAAATAAAAGTAATGAAGGCTCTACCCATACCAGGAACTGGCAGCAAACCCAAAGGCACACAGCTGACCGGCTGGACATGAGGAGAGCCCCAGGTATGTAATACGGCCGTGAAGGAGCATTCATGCCACCTGGGTGTCAGGTAGTGAACACTGATGAATGAACCTGTTGGAGCCTCTTTCTTGGAGAGTTTGGAGGAAGACACACTGAAGACAGGGAGGCTGGGGTCCCAAAGCCCAAGCACCCACACAGAGAGGAAAGATAACAAACATCCAGAGTCATGAAGTGGCAGAAGCCGTGAGGCTGAGAAAATACTGGAGGAAGTAGATAAATCAGTAAAAGCAGATTCACACATATATTCAAACTTCCTGGCCTAGAAATTCAATACTAATTTGGGGAAAGTAGTATCAAACACATATTGATCCTTTCCCAGAACTGTTCTGTTCCATGAACTTACAGTCTTCTGCCCACATACTCCATTCAGGCCTCTTTCTGATCAGAGACAACTGTGCCAAGAACACATTTAAAAAACATTTGTTTTAATTCATGAGAACAATGATAACGTCTCTTTCTTCTTAAAAAATGCCTTACCTCCAGAAGCCATGGCTTTAGTTTTCTGTCCAACAAAATATCAAATCCCAGGACTTCAAAGCACACACTTTCGCTTCCCGGAGGCTGCCCAGGTCTGCACATCCGATATGCGTGAAGGACATGAGGTTCCGCCACAATCAGCGTCTTAACAACCAATTCCTGCAAGGAAAGATTTTTTTAAAAGGTGAAAATGCCTTAGTTCTTTCTCATTTACACAGCTGGCAATGAGGCCTGGATTTACAAACTAGCCCTGGGGCATCTACTCCCAGCACTGCCCTGATTTCACTTCATCCAACTCTCCCCCTTCCTGCTAAGCTCCAGCCACATCTTCTCTGGCCCCTCCAAGTAACTGTTCCCTCTTCCTGGAACACTCTTCCCCCTATATTCCTATGTATTGATCCTAGATATGCAGAGAGGCCTTCCCTGACCCTGGAGTCAAAATCACCACCCACCATCCCTTCCTGCATCACTCCACAGCATAGAATCAGGCTACCTTGTTTTGTTAGAGCAGGGTCCTTGTCTGTCCTATTGACAACCCCATCCCAGTGCCTATAATAGTGCCTCACATTTAGTAGACGCTCAAAAACATTTGTCAACAAAAAGTAAACTATTTCACAAACATTATAGACCTTCTCTTAGACAAAGGCTGAAGAGGGCTAGGACAGAAGCTAGGAGAGCTGGGTTTCTTTGTGCAGTGATGAAAGTACTGCCAATGGCTGTCACCATTTTCTGTGAGGAAACATAATACTACTAGGGTGAGTTACTGATGCTAATAAAACAAAAAGTTGTTTTACTGAAGTTGGAGAACAAGCTATGGATTGTTGAAAAGCTGTCTCACTGGTTTTTGCTTAGACTATATTGTCGCTGGAACTGCATCTCTGCAGGTACGACTGCCAAATGTAAACTGGCAAATAATAATGACACTTGCTGCAAAAGACTGATGTAAGGACAAATGAGACTCCACCTAAAACTTAGTGTAGTGCCCGAACACAGTAAACCGTAAATAAGTATTAGCAATTTAATTACTACTATTGTTAGAGTTATTCTATTATTCCATGAAAAGTCCATCTCATATGTCAGGTTAGACAGAAACATTCCCCTACCTGGTGAGAGCAATGGTTAATGATATGGGAGAAGGAAATGGAAGAAACTAACCTCACTGTTACCCAGAATCCCAACCCAGACGGTATCTGGAGACAAGTGTCAGAGAGGCCATGAGAGGTTGTTCTGAGAAAACTTTATTCAAAACAACAAATTAATGGTAACACCAAAGAATATTAAGAAAGACAAAAAGCCACTTCATATAAATCTTTGGAGATATTGCTAACGCCACTGGAGAGTACAAGAAAAAAAAGTCAAAACCTTGGCTAATAAGTGTGTGTAAAACAAGACAGCCAGGGGATATTAATAGGCCCTGATAACCAAGCTGTGTTTCTTCTACATAAAAAAGCAACACATTCCCATATGGACATAAAATATTTGGCAAAGAAAAGAATATTAGAGAGTATATAAAACCTCCTTGGCCTCCCTAAGCTATTCATCAAATGGCCTACTCATTAAATCATCCAGGTAATATGTACACTCTTCCATCAAAAAGCTACTGTCCAAAAATAACAGATTTCTCCGCTCTGATTCTTCTGATCCACTGTGATAGAACACCTAGCATTATTAGGACATTTTTTAGAATTTCTACAAAATTGGCCTTGCTAAAATAAAGAAACAGATAAGTAATCACAGCATTATTATAATCCAATTATTGTTTGGGTGCACTTAGTCTCTCAAGAAGATATAATAGAATGTTAAGTTGGTGGGCATCTAACCAAATCCAGATGACAAACATTTTTCATGGAGCCCCTACACTTTTAAAACTTTTGAACGTATTGCCAATATTTATAAATCAGGAGATTTATGGCAAATTGGAAGAATGAACCACACTGGGCCCAAGATACCATGTGCACCAATGGACCAGTGCTGAGTGGTGTCTATGTCCTTTAGACCTCTCATGCTCTTCAAATTACCACAGTTCCCAGCACACCCTATTTGCTCCTATGCCAACCACTTCACTGTTTCTTACTTGCCTGACATCTAAGAACTTTTAGATTTACATTCTGTGATATAAAAATAAGGAGTAAAAAAATCAACCAACAAAGCAATCAACAAAAGGATAAATATAACGATGCTGATTTTTCTCTCTGATTTCTCAGGAGAGCCAAGTTCAGTGCAGAGAGAAAGTACCTATGAATTTTTGTGCCCATTTTCGATGATAGATTTATTTAAATTATATATTATTTGTCCTCAAAAGAAAGTCAAATCAAATTATACAGCCCTAATCATATTTTCAACAGACACAGTCTTCTAACTTGGAAGGCATCTTGATACTTCCGCTAGGATTCATGAAGGGTCTGTTTCCCCAAGGTTTTCTTCTCATAGGTTTCCCTCTTTCTCTTTCCCTTTACCTATCAATTGCACCACAAACATACACTTCTGACTGACTGCTTGATCTTTCTACCTGAGACAGTGTTTCAAGTTCAACACATCCTCATCATAGCCTTATGGACTTCGAAAAACTTAGCTCAGAGGTCAGTGCCTCCAAGAAGTCCCCCTCTCTCCCCACCCGCCCAAAGCTACTGTGTGGTTTTCCTCCGCATCCCACTGAATCCAGGGCTGCCTCCCTGCTGTACTTGATACACTGCATTTCATTAACAATTTCTGTGTTGCTTTTTTCTGCCAAACTCTTAAGTGTTTAAGAACTGGAGCTATATCTCATAAATCTTCAAATTATCAGCCAGAGACAGGCTTATATTATGAGTTCAATAAATGTTTCTTGAATAAATGAACAAACAAACAAATAAATAAAACTTTTTTTCCCTCATCTGCAAAACAAAGCTGTAAATCTCCTCAAAATAAATCCCGTCCTACTCTATTTCAGATAATGCCACTTTCATTATCCCTATAATTACTCCTTAAAACTAGAAGAATCTCTGAACACTTCTCCCCCATTCTAAACATTCAATGAATTCCAATGTTTACCTCATTGCCACCCCTTATTGTGTTCAATTTAGGCCATTCTTTTCATTTAAACTACTCCCAACAAAAATCAACCAACAAAGCAATCAACAAAAGGATAAATATAACGATGCTGATTTTTCTCTCTGATTTCTCAGGAGAGCCAAGTTCAGTGCAGAGAGAAAGTACCTATGAATTTTTGTGCCCATTTTCGATGATAGATTCATTTAAATTATATATTATTTGTCCTCAAAAGAAAGTCAAATCAAATTATACAGCCCTAATCGTATTTTCAACAGACACAGTCTTCTAACTTGGAAGGCATCTTGATACTTCCGCTAGGATTCATGAAGGGTCTGTTTCCCCAAGGTTTTCTTCTTATAGGTTTCCCTCTTTCTCTTTCCCTTTACCTATCAATTGCACCACAAACATACATCTACGTACTCTTGGTCTTTACTCTAACCACCCTCTAAACTCATAGTACTTGGCTTTATTACTCTCCTCCTTTAAAAACTGGAAGTTAAGCCTTGATTTTCAGACCTAAAATTTGGCCTCTACATATCTTTTCAGCCACAAGTCCCCACGCAGCCCCCACAATTACCCAATGTGCCAACCTGGACACTGACCACTACTTGCAGACCTCCAAGCCTTTACTTAAGCTTGTGCCTTCACCTAGAATTCGCTCTCCCTTCCTTAGCAATGACAGTACTATGTATCTATCGAGGCCCATTACAAATTCTACTTCCTTCATGCAAACACATCTCATCTGCCCAAACTAATGCAAGCTACTCTTTATTTAACATGTCTTTAAATTAATTTAATTTAATCTGAGGTGATCCTTTAAATTAATGTGAGGAGAGACGGTTGTAATTGTGGAATGGTACACTCTTACTGAAATGTCACTCCAAAACTTGGCCACATCGTGTTGATTTGCTTGCAGGAATTCTGTAAACCATTTGATGGAGCGTTTGCTGCCTCTGTTCTCAGTTTCATCCCTTTCAAAATGCTCATTGTGCTTGTTCACGGAGTAGTTTGTCAGATGCATGTATAACTGGGTCTGCAAGAAGTAAGAACCAAAAGTATCTCCCATGAGACTCCAGAACCATGAGATTTCGCAGAAAAGAAAGCATCCAAAGAAAAAGATGATTTTAACATTTAAAATATACAGACAATTTCGTGGTTACTTGTATAATTTCCAAATTAAATGGAATGGCACATTTTTCATAAAAAGATGGTGAATGTAGTCATCTATGTCTGCCATAAAAAGTATTAAAATAATAAGAATATAGAGAATAATTAAATGAAAGTGTGAGACTATATATTACTAAGCAAGAAAAATGCTCCTCTATTTTTGTTTTTGTTCATTTTTAGTTTGTTTGTTTTCAATGTTTTTGGTCACTTACAGTTTTCACCCAAATTTGTTTTGGGGAAAGTGATTTTCTGAGAGAACATTCTATGTCTTTTCAAAGAAAAGTAAAAAATGAAAGCTCAAGTAAGTAGCATAAACCAAGAGAAAGGACTAGCAAGCACAACCTCTGCCCTCCCGTACTGATGGGGAGGCCACTTTGACTCATTAGGAGGACAGGGTGCACTTAGCAGACAATGCTGCCCCCCACAAAGTGCTGTACAGAGTCCAAATGATCAACAGGACATGTATAGTGCTCCACATTGGAGCTGTTATGTCTTCATCTCTTTATATCCTTATGTTTGCTGATACTGTTATTCTCAACTTGAAAAAGAATCCAAAATTTAAAGCTTCTCATAACTGTCCATTAATACACATTTGATGGCTCCTTATCGATCTCGGAAAAACATTCATCAGGTCTATAAATCCTACCCTCATGACTCAGCTCCAAGAGGTTACTTTAGACAGCAATATTGCATCACAATGAATATATGTTCCACGCACATCATTAGTATTTTGGTTTGTTAATAACCAAGTATATTCATATCACATTTTTTTCGCTGCCGTTACTCAGGTCTACAGTCTTAAAATCTTGGAAGCAAATATGAAGAACTACCTTATTTGAGTTACATGTTGCTTACTAACCCATGTGCCCACCACTAATTCAGAATTTTTTCATTCATTAAACAATATTTAAAGAACCCCTATGATCAGCAAGAATTTGTGCTCTGCACTGTAGATACAAGAATGAACAACAGACACAGTCCCTACACTCATGAAACTTAGAAAAAGCTTTAAAGTGATATTTAAAAGAAAGAGCACAAACCGTAGGCTTGTCTAATTTTTAATACTTGATTTTTTTCTAAAAGAAAATCAAAATATTTCCTAGTTTACAAAATAGAAATCATTTTTTTTAATTTAAAAAAAAGGTTAAAAACTAATTTTTTTTGAGGTGCTCTCTGTTTGGCAAGAATTTCTTAAAATTAATATAAAAGCAGTAATAAAAACTCTAGGTACCCTAATAAAAAACTGAATAAGAAATGGAACTTTGCATTTTCCTTAAACATTATCTTTGTAATGAGTAAGTTTGGAATTCCCACAGTTCACATTTATCTTGACATAAATCACCTTCTAAACAGTTCATTGCCATAACTTACTCTAGGAAATTGATCATGAAATTTTAAAGCTATATCAGGAACACTGACGTATATTATGTCAACATCATTTTTCATACATGTAAAAACCAAAGCCAGGATAGTATGTGATTAAGATCACTTAGCAAAGTGAAACATAAAAGCCACATTTCCTGACTCCCAATCTTTCATTATGATTTCCTAACCCAGTGTCCGTAAGCAAATCATATACGATAACTTAAGATACTAGAAGAAATCACTTTATCACCTAAGTGAGCTTCTTAATCTATCTCTTCTCTCATTCTTTCCTCTCAAAACCTAATTATCTGTTTACATGGGTATGATCCATTCTTACCCACTCCAATTATTTAAATCTATGAGCTGACAAGTCCCAAATTATGCCTGTAGCTGAGCTCTCTCATCTGAACTTCAGACCTACAGTATACGTACAAATGCCTACAGTGCAGACCCACTTGGAAGTCGCAGAGGCATATCAAACCAAACACATCAGCTTTCTGCAAAACCCTTAATGTCTCCTGTATTCCCTACCATACTGAAAATAACCCATCTACAAAACTGCCCATGCCAATAATCTTGAGTGTTATTCTCAATGTCTCCCTCCCTCTCTCTCATTCTACAAATCTAACCTGTCAGTATATTATATCAATGTTATCCATGTTATCATAAATATATCTTAAATCTATGTAATTATGCCTAGGCCAGCCTTACTACTATTACTTTAAATTAAGTCATCTTTCCTCTCATATGTGGGTAGAGTACACCTCCAGGTTGTCTCCCTTACTCTAGTCTCTCTCATCCATCTATATACCTCCATCGCACATTCCCCATACTGCAGACAAGGTAAACTTCTTAAGACATAAATCCTCCTGGCCAAGTAGTTCAGTTGGTTAGAGCATCGTCCCGATATGCCAACGCTGTGGGTTCAATCCCCAGTCAGGGCACATACAGGAATCAACCAATGAATGCGGAGATAAATGGAACAACAAATAGATGTTTCTTTCTCTCTTCTCTTTCTCGAAAATATCAATGAATTAAAATTTAAAAAGACACAAAATCTCATTCTTTTTTTCCCTTCTTTAAAATGTTTCAATGCACCCAGCCGGGCATGGCTCGGTGGTTGAGCATCGACCTAGGATCCAGGAGACTGTGGTTCGATTCCTGGTCGGGGCACATGCCCAGGTTGCGGGCTCAATCCCTAGTTGGGGGCGTGCAGAAGGCCGCAGATCAATGACTGTCTCATCATTGATGTTTCTCTCTCTCTCTCTCCCTCTCCCTTCTTTTCTCTAAAATCAATAAAGATATATTTTTAAAATAATAAATAAATAAATAAAATGTTTCAATGCTTCTCTTCTTCTTAGATTAAATTTTAATATCCTACGTATGGCTTACAAGCCCTGAAAGATCTGGCCTCTAGAACTCTCCATCCTCGTATCTGAATACTCACCCTTTCTTGGTCTGTATCTCAGCCATACTAAATGTGCCTGCTTTCTCCAGACATACCCTACTCCCTTTCGTCTCTGTGTCATTCTTCTGGCTGGAGTTGCACCCACCTCCACCCTGGCTAACCTTTCATTATTCAGATTTCACTTTACAAACCCCCTTTCTAACCTCCATCTCCAGCTGGGTCAGACGCCCTGCTATGCACTGCCATAGCACCCTCGGTTTCTTAGACCATTATCCTTACCATTGGCTATTATAATGGCTTATTTTGTTTTCTGCCTTCCCACTAGACTGTTTCTTTTGTGAGGTCAAGGACTGTATCTGTCTTGGTTACTGTTTTTCCAAAACCAGCACAAAGCCTAGAATGCAGCACAGTTCAAACACTACTTGATGACTAACTATATCCACACATATGACCTTTAGAGATGATACTTTCTTTTATTTTCCTACCCTGTGAAAACTTTGGTAGTTCCCTTATTCTTCCTTTGCCAGGCTTACATTTTACAGTTCATTAAACATAGTAACATTTATGATCAGTCATTATTTAATTTTGAAAATATGACCATTCTTAATAGAGTTAATTATGTGGATAATATTGGAGGAAAACAATAACCAGGCCTTTGACAAAAGGGGAAACAATAACTACTTGTAAGTTTTACAAATAAAAATTACAGGGTTAAAAGTTAAGTAAACTTTTAATTAACAATAAATCAATAGCCTGGCAAGTGTGGCTCAGCAGCTGAGCATCCATCCATGAACCAAGAGGTCCCCAGTTCCATCTTGGTCAGGGCACATGCTCGGGCTGGGGACTCGATCCCCAATAGGGGGCAGAAGGCAGATCCCCATGCAGGAGGCAGAAGATCAGTGATGTTTCTCTCTCATTAATGTTTCAATCTCTATCCCTCTCCCTTCCTCTCTCTCTAAAAATCAATAAAAACATTAAAAAATAATAATAAATCAATAAATACAGGAATTAAATTAGTTTGTCTTTCATAAAAGCATAAATAAACTATGAATTACAGTTTATGTCTTCATGATGAAGTATGATAATAAATTACATCATTAACTATAAATGACATTTATGACTTTCATCACTATATTACGGTCGCACAAAGGAAATCTTAATGGAAAAATATCTACAAAAAGCTACATTTAATATACTTAAAATTCACACTGAAATAGACAATTTATGTCTCTCCTTTGCTTTTGGTCAATGTAAATTTACAATCTTTTCATTTGTTACAACAAAAATGAATAACTCTATTTCCTGATAACTTTTGTGTCCTCTGTTTAATATACTTTCTCCCACGTTCTATATGTTTAAAAAGTACCTTTTATACAAAGGTGTAAACACTGCTCAAGTACTGCCTCCTCTGTGAGGAGCTGAACACAAACTATCCATACTATACTCAGCTCCATAACACTTAATCCATATACTTCCCAGTGCCATATTATTTTTATTTCCAGTTCTATAAAAATCATTTCTATCCAGGACCACTGCATACACATATGTGCATTGAAATCCATCCTTAATCTCACAGCACCTAGAGGAGTGACTTTTCCTGATTAGCCTTCCTGAAGTAGACACCTTTTTATATTCTAATTTTTACAAAGCTATCTATAAGTTAGAAGTAGTCCTGTTTGTATATACAATCCTTCTAGACCAATGATTTTCAACGTTTCAACCTTTTCCATCTCATGGCACATATAAATTAATTACTAAAATTCTGAGGCACAATGAAAAATACAGTTTTAGCCAATCTGACACCAAAAAAAGGTATAATTCTGATTCATTCACACTGCCTGGCTATTGTTGTGTTGGTTGTTGTCATTTTTTTATTTGACAATCTAAGGGAAAAAAGGTCAGTGCCCCTGACTAAATAGTCAGGTATTGCATGATTTAAAAATTCTTGCGGCACACCAGTTGAAAATCGTTGTTCTTGACTATAAAAACTTGAGAGGAGGGACTTTCATTCATATAACCTTTAGACACAATGGGTACTTCAAAAAGTGTATGTTGAACACATGAATAAAATAATAGATTCTATCTGGTATCACTTACCAAATTGGACTCATTAGGTGGAATGTACTTCTCTGTTCCCATTCGCACAAGTCCATCGTGGTAGAGAAATATTTTTAGTGGATCACATGATGTTACCAAAATATAAATTCGTAAATCAAACTTGTAACCTTCCATTAAGAAAGGCTTGTCAATGTATTCTTGAACAATCAAATGATCCTGAGATGGAAGTTTGTCACCATTTCTTATCAAAGAAATCCTAAGTTTAAAAAAAAAGAATCAAAAGAACAATTCGATATGGAGTCAAAATGTTTACAAAGTTATAGATAATACTCAAGATGAATATGGTGGAGTAGGTAACTCCAAAGTCTGTCCCTTTACAAGAGCAGTGAATAGCAAAAATAAAAGCTTGTAACAACCAGGGATCACCTAATCAAAAACAAACAACCAAAAAAATCAAAAACCAACCGCTGTACCTATGTAAAACAGCTTTGTAGCAGTTTAACTTACTCTGGTAATATCCCCCAAGCTCCAGCTCACCAGCTCAGCAGTGGCCCATGTTTCCAGTACAGGTACTGATTCTAGAGGGAGTAGAATACATCTTACTCTGATGGCTGCATTTTTTTTAACCTGTGTAGTGGCTCCCTGGAGGACCTCAAAGAACTTGTTTTTGTCTTGAGTACCTGTGAACTCTCCCAGGTCTGAGGCAGCTACTTGGGGAGGCAATTATGAAGGACATTTAAAGACAAATGTATTAGTCCTTGCTGCCTAGGGCAACAAAATAACTATTGCGGAAAACAATAGACCAACTAAATAGATAAGGGGAAAAGAATGAGGAATGAGAATCTTTGGGGAATAGGGTTTTGAAAAGCTCTGACATATTTCTAGAACTCCAAAAGGCCATGTGCATGCCCAAGGCTAGGTGCATGCTCAGGAAAGACTTGAGAAGGCCCTAAGCTCTTACTTTTAGCGAACCATCAGGTTCTACACAAGTAGAAAGTAAAGGCCAAGGCAGAGCTGTAAATTGCCTAGTTGAGCACAGAAGGCATGCTTAAACACAATCACACACACAGCCCATCTGCAAGGACTGGGAAATTTTTTTTGGTGGGGGGTAGAGATAGGTCCAAGTATTTAAGAAAATCTCTGTTCAATTACTAGCTGACCACTGACCTAACAGAACAGGAACTTCAGTGGCCATACACAAAAATACAGGCTTTACAAAAGTATTTCAGAATGGCCACTAGACAAATAAACAGCAACTACAGCAAGCATGAACAATAACAACAACCTACAAAGGGAGGAGAAACTGATTTCCAGGGTTGCTACATTATAGTATTCAAAATGTCCAGTTTTCAACAAAAAATTATGAGTCATGCAAAGAAAAAAGAAAGTATAACACATACACAGAAATATTATCAATGAATAGAAACAGTTCCTGAGGAAACCCAGGCATTGAGATTTACTGGACAATCAACTATTTAAATCAACTATTTTAAATCTGTTCAAAGAGCTAAAGGAAACCATGAAAATTCTGTCTCACCAAATTGAGAATATGAATAGAGATAGAAGTAAGGGAGAGAACTCTCACAGAAATTCTGAAGTTGAAAAGTACAATAATGAAACAACAACAACAAAATTCATTAGAGGAGTAAACAGAATATTTAAGAAGGCAGAAAAAAAATTTGAAGATGGTCAATTAAGATTAACTAGTCTGAGGAACAGAAAGAAAAACTAATAAAGAAAAATGATTAGAGCTTAAAGTTCTCTATCAAGAATACTAACCTATGCATAATGGGGGTATCAAAAAAAAAGAGGAGAGGGAGAAAAGGGCAGAAATAATATTTAAAGAATTAATAGCTGAAGACTTCTCAATTCCAAGAACCTCAATGAACTCCAAGTAGGATAAACTCAAAGAGATCCACACTGAGACACATAATCAAGCTGTCAAAAACCAAGGCAAAGACTCTTAAAAGTAGCAAGATTGAAGCTGCTCCTCACATCCAAGGAATCCTCAATAATATAGACAGCTGATTTCTCATCCAAAACAATGGAAGCCAAAAGACAGTGAAATGACATATTCCAAGAGCTGACAGTAAAAGAAAAAAGAACTGTTAACCAAGAATGCTATAGCTGGCAAAACTATTCAAAATTAAAGGAGAAATTAATATATTTCCAGATAAACAAAAGCTGAGGGAGTTTCTTGTTAGTATATCTGAATCCTTCAGGTTGAAACAAAAGGACACTAGACGGTAACTCAAATTTACACAAAGGATTAAAGATCACCCCTAAAGGTGATTTATGGTAAATATAAAAGTCACTATTAGTGTAGTTTAGGTTTGTAACTCCTCATTTTTCCTACATTATTTAAAACACAACTGCATAAAACAATAATTATAAATCTGTTACTGGCACACAATGTACATGATGTAATTTGTGACAATTAAGGGGGGCAGAGCTATACAGGAACAGTTTTGGGTTTTTTACTATTGAAGCTAAATTGGTATTAATCCAAACAAGAGTGCTATACATTGAGGTGTTGATTGTAATAACAAGGCAACCATTAAAAAAATAAAAAATAGCCCGCCTGGTGTGGCTCATGGATTGAGTGCTGACCCATGCATCAGGAGGTCATTGGTTTGATTCCTGGTCAGAGCATGATCCCTAGTAGGGGGAGTTCAGGAGGCAGCCAATCAATGTTTCTCTCTCATTGATATATCTCTTTCTCTCTCCCTCTTCTTTCCTCACTCTCTAAAAATCAATATAAACATATTTTTAAAAATCATTAAATACCCTCTCAAACTAAAAATATTCAAAATCAATGTTGATGAAGGAAAATTTTTAAAAATTAAATAAGAGTAAAAGATGACAAGGAAATTAAATTGGTACACTAGAAAATTATTTAATACACAGGAGGGCAGAAATGGAGGAACTGAGGAATGAAAACTATATATAAGACATATAGAAAAAAAAGAGCAAAATGGCCAAAGTAAATTTTTCCTCATCAATAATGACTTAAGTACTAGTGGATTAACTCTCCCGTTAAAAAATAAGACTTGGCAGAACGTATTTAAAAAAACAAGATCCAACTATACGCTATCTACAAGAAACTCATTTTAGATTCAAAGTCTCAAACAGGTTGAAAGTGAAAGAATGGAAAAGATATTTCACGTAAATAGTAACCAAAAGAGAACTGTAGTGGCTATAATAGTATCAGACAAAGTAGACTTTAAGATAAAAATTATTACAAAAGACAAAGAAAAACAGTATATAATGATTTTTTAAAAGTCAATGAAACAAGAAGATATAATAATTATAAACATATATGCACTAAAAACAGAGTTCCAAAATATATGAAGCAAAAACTGATAGAACTGAAAGGAGATATAGATAGTTCAACAATAACAGTTGGAGTCTTCAATATCCCACTTTCAATAATGGAGAAGACCAAACAAAAGATCAGCACGGAAATGGATATATTCCACAGATGACAGAGGTATGTATCCTTTACCTACTCACTACATTACATGAGATAGACCCTGACAGCACAGTATGCTTTTTCAGCTATTTTTTATACTGTTGTCAAATCAGATTAATACTTAAGTATAATGTTTTACCATTAAGTGTAAGTATATAAAAATATAAATTTTAACATTAATTTCTTAACATTAAAATTAAGAAAAATATGAACTTCGATTATACCCCCCAAATTTTCTCTTTGATGCTAACATACAGCACCAACTTTACATCAAACAATTAATATAAAATTCCCACTAATATTACATGTTTACTTTTTTAAATTATTAAACCACAGTTAAAAACAATGTCTGATTAAATTATGATTGAAAGTTAAAAGAAAATTTGTTGAATGATAACTTACCCGGGAGCTACATTTCCAAATATCTTTTTCCCCCCACATCATTGAAAACAAAATGAGTCATGAGTTTTTATTAAAAGCAGACTCAGTCACTTTTTTTTTTTTTTTAAAGTACATTGCAGGAAACTAATATAAGAAAGTAAAAGGAAACAGAAATATAAATTGTATAATCTATTCTCAGCAAGCATATCTAGTTCTTGGTATTTTAACTTAATGTATTCTACTAATTTTCAATCCCATTGCCATGGCTACATAAAGATAAAAACAAGGAAAAAGAGACAGGCTCATAGAGAGCAGGCTGACAGCTCGGCGGGGGGAGACTGAGCTAAATAAAAAGAAAGAAAAATCTCAATGCACATGGACAAGAGTATGGTGATTGCGGGGGGGAGAAGAATGGGAGGAGTGGAGGAGGGCATAGGGTGATAAATGGTGACGGATGGAAACTTGACTTGGGGTGGTGAACACACAATACAGTGTACAGATGGTGTGCTGTTAAATTGTGTACCTGAAACCTGTAAAATTATGTTAACCAGTGTCACTGCAACAAATTCAATAAAAAGGAAAAAAACTTATTTGTAAAACAAGGAAGATACATGCAAGAGCAACTCCCTTCCCATTTCTTTTTTCAAGTCAATTTAGCTTTGCGGTATCCACTGAATTTTATTCTCCAATTCACTCTAAAATTATTATAAATGCAAATTTTATGTTTAAAAAAATAGAAAATACCTTTTTTTTTTCTATTTGGTTGTCTCCTATTAAAATCTTTTAATCTACTGATTTAATTTTTAAATTGAATTACTGAAGCCTGTGGGACAGGGTAAAAGCACTCATTAAATATTTAGTTCCAATAAAAACAATAGTTAGAAAGCTATTTTATCATATTTTTCATAGTAGTACTCAACCATGAGTGAATGCTCACATTCATTCTCCCCACCCTCCAATTTGTTATATATATATTGCAAGTGAAAAATACCTACCCATGACCCATTGCACCATTAGCTGGTTTTACTATGAAAGTTTTCTGCTTCCTTTTTTTCTTCAATTCTTTCATATAGTTCTGGAATTGAGTATATTCAGCAGGGAAGATCCATGTTCGAGGAATAAAGGTATAATCCAGAGGCCGGGACTTGATCATTCTGTAAATTAGAGATAATATAAAAAGTAATTTCCATTCAAACTTCTCTAAATTTTCTTTCTGTGATCCTGACATTTACTACAAAGATTTAAATACCTCTATTCATTTATTGATCCATTCAGCAAATGTCTATTAAGCATCTACTATGTGCTAGGCACTGTTCTAGACACTGGGGATGCATCAGTGAAAAAACAGACACAGTTCTCTGTCCTATGTACTAATTTACTTATTAGTAAGTGAAACATATATTTGAGTATATACTACATGCCAGGCACTGGGGATAGTAAGGAAAGGTAATAAGGTCTCTTCCCTAAGAAATTTACATACAGGGCATTAATTAAATACAATGTGATAGATGTAATAAAGGCATATGAGGAAAGATACCACGGAAAGAGTCACTAACTATGCCTCAGGAATGGGGATGGGCAGTAGGAAATGGCTCATGGTCAGGCGCCACTTATATTGCTTCTTTAAAGATCATTTTAAGTCCCTTGGGTCACCCATAGGGAGTTTTGATTGCCTTTTCCTCCAGTGTGTTTTGGAGTTTAACTCCTTTTTCTGAGTAAACTATGTGAAGCCTTGAGTCAGTGAATGTTTTGTTTATATGAACTATATGTGCTTATACATGTGGTTTTATGACTACACTGTATGTCTTAATATTTTTGTATTTGCTACAAATCAGGCTGCCTATTTGATACAAAACTTAAAGATAATACTCAGTATAAGATGTTTACTTTTGTTGTTGTTGTTGTTAATCCTCCCCTAAGGTTATTCTTTCCAGTGATTTTTTAGAGAGGACGGGAGGGAAGGAGAGAGACAGAGAAAGACAGAAAGAGGAAGGGAGGGAGGGAAGAGAGAGGGACATTAATGTGAGAAAGACACATCAATTGGTTGCCTCCCGCATGCACCCCAGCCAAGGCCAGGGATCAAACCCTGGGAACGCATATATTCAAGAGAAATACTTTATTCCATATAAGTAATCTAGCACAAATCATTTGATGTGAAAATGCTTAACTTCAAAAGAGACATTTAGTCTTGCTTAGGAATTTGGGAATCTGAGATCATTTCTGCTCACTGCTCTGTCATGGATTTACTAAATTCTATTAAACATGTGACTTATATAACTTTATATTACTAGGTCAATATTTTTTCCACTAGAAGATTATTTTTTCCTTAAAGAGAACTCCAAGGGTTCTACAGATGTGTGTAAGGGTCTACATTAAACCTCCTGCCTCTTCCAACCATAGTCTTCTGTTCTCTACAAAGCAGCCAGAATGACATTTTCAAAATGCAAATCTGGTCATATTACTAACTCCATCACTCCCTCTTCTCCTATGGCATTTAGAATAAAGACCAAAATCCTAAAAGTCACCCTTCAGCTAATCTCTCCCCCATTCCCCATCAGCGTTTCTGTGCTCCAGCTACACTTGGCCTTACTTCAGTGTCTTGACTCTTCATGCTTTCTCCTACCACATGCAGGCTGTCACCTGCCACCATTGCCAGTGAACTCCTATTTGTCATTTATACTTCAGCTTCCACATCGCTTCCTCAGAAAAACTCTCCAGGGCCTCCCTAAGCTGGAAGTCCCTCACTATGCACTCATTTGGAACTATGTGCCTCTGCTTTGTAACGCTTGTCAAACGGTTGCAATCCAAAGTCGTAAAAGTCATAAGTCTGTTTTTGATCCCCTAGTGTACACAGAGCCCAGCACAGTGTCTGGCATATAGTACGGATTTAATAAACATGCGTTAAGTGAAAATAAATGTCTTAAATAAAACACATGTTCAAAACTTTACAGAGGTAATTCCCTTTCCTCTGAAATCCATTCTTCCTGTAACCCCTATGTACCAACCACAACACCTACACAGTCTCTCTAACCGAGGAGTCACCTTGGGAACTTCTTTCCTCCCCTTTCACTCTCACATCATAGCAGGTTTCAGGTCCTATCACTTCTATAGCCTTCATATTTTCCAGATTTATTTCCCCATTCCCACTCTATCTCTTTTGGCTTATTAGCTGCTCATCATTTCTCACCGAGATGTTATCGTCTCCAGGGCTTTCTCCCTCTAGTTCTACCTTCACCGAATCCGTGATCTAGATTGCCCCCAAGCACCCAGCACCATCTCAGGTTGAGCCTCCCAACATTCTTTATAACCATATAAACTGCTTAAAGTTCCCTAAACATATCATGTTGCTTAAAGTCTACATATATTTCCTCCCATTGTTATCTTTGCCTACATTCCCCTTGCCTTCTTTTCAAAGGGTGAAATCCTGTACACTTTTCAATATCCATCTCATATTTAATTTCTCCAGAAAGCCTTCCCTGCTCTCACAAAAATAATCTCTCCCACTATCTTTGTAGCCACCACATGTTGACTCTACCTCTAATGTGGCACCATCAAACTGTACTGTATGTCAGTCTTCCTCTCTTACTAGGCCTTATTTATTGTGTTTACCTCAAAGTTAGCAGTCTCTAAGGGAAAGACATTCAAAAGTGTTTGTTGAGTGAATGGAAGTATAAACTTTCACATGGATACATCCAAATGTTTCTTTAATTGCAGACACAATTTTACTAACCTTTCTCTGTGAAAGAGATCTCTTTTTAAAATTTTTTCTCAATTTTTCACTTCCTTAAAATAAAAATATCTAATCAACAGAAATATAAACTGTATAAAAATTCTGCAGTTCATTTGGTACTTGAGTATACCTGTGAACAGTTTTCCTCATGAAAGCAGATTGTTACTTTAAATAGTGGTCTCAGAAATAAATATATGTGCATGTATATCCCTGGGTGGGCATATACAAGGTGGGGCAAAAGTAGGTTTACAATTGCTCATATGGAAAAATAATACAATAATTAATAAATAATAGTGGAAGAATAAGCTGCATTTCAAATACTCACAACTGTAAACCTATTTTTGTGCTCTACTTGCATGTGTGTGTACACATGTACCTACTACAGTGCCTGGCACATATTAGATGCTCAATAACCACTATATGAATGCACAGATGCACACATGGCAACAATGAGACAGATTAGTTCCTGCAAGGTATAACTGAAAACAAATAAGTACAAAATGAATAAAAGTAAAAACTCTGAGATTCTGGAAACCAAGCTCTGCTATTAACTATCTGTTTGACTTTGTGCAAGGTATTTCTCTGACCCTCAGTTACCTCCTCTGCAAAGTGCAAGAATAGAACCAGAGAACTTTTAAGACTCTCCTAGCTCTAAAATTTTCTTCCATCAAAATATCATTTCAAATCTCTGTAACTCTGTGAAAGACAGCACTGTAATATTCAAAATGTAAACTTCTAACAGGTCTATTCTATTATAAGAAAATGAAGATTACTTAGTCATATTTCTTGCTAAGAAATCCTTCCTACAGATCTCCCCCATTCCTGGAAAATGGTTGATCCTCTGGAAAATAAAAAAGTAAACATTAATATTCTCATTGACTTAATGAATACATTCACTTATACTATCATACAGTTACCACCATCCTTGAAGTTTTCATGTTTTAATAAACTAACAATTATTAAATTAAAATATTTAAATAAAATTACCTAAATTTTAATGAATTAAAGAATCTATAGTAATCAGAGAATAAAATAGCACAATTTTAAAGAAATCAGAGGAGTGTCTATATAGACATTAAAGTTATAATTTTCTGCGTTGAATAAACGGAAATTCATTGTTGAAATTATTTTTGGCATTCTAGACTTACTGTATTCATACAGGTAAGCATTGTAGAAAAACTGGTGAAAATGGACTTATTTTTTCCCTACAATAAATTCTGTATAACCCTCTATACTAATGGATGAAGAACTATACAAAATATCAATTACCTAAAATTCCGTGCATTTGATTATTTTAAATATAAGTTTCTATAAAAGAATGAAGCCAGATATATAACTGACGTGGTATTTCCACATCATGATCTCTCTGTGCAACCTATTCCACGTCACTCATCTTTAAACACAATGCAAAGCACCAGACTGGGAAAAGTTTTCTTCTATCATTTCATAAAGATGCAAAGAGGTTAAAAGTTACATCTGAAAGGATGCAGGCTTCATGCACAGTCAGTACTAGACAGTAACAGAACAGGCTATTCCGGTAAGTTAGGACTGAAATTTAGCATATCAACAAATTAAGAACCCTATCTAAAGAACGGTGTAAGGGAATGCATATAACTTTCCTAAGAGCCAATGGCTGGTCATGATTCACCCCCCACCTGGTAGTTTTGGAGCTCTGCGATCTTCTCCTGCTGAACTGCAGAGTCACACCATATAAGGTTACTCGTTTCATCTTCATCTGGAGCCTTCATAAATCCCATTTCATCTATTACTAAACGAACTGCAAGTAAACGGTGAAGTTAAACCAAAATTAAAATACTTCTGAAATATATTCAATGGGGAGACATTTTTTGATACATTTAAATTTTAGCTCAAAGTGTTTCATTGGAAAAATATCCATTAGTGAGACCATGACCTAATTTTGAGTTACAACAATTTATTGAGAGCCAATTTATACTCCACAGTAACTGAGAACTGTTTTTAGGTTGCACCCCAGATCCTCAGTGTCAGTCCTCTGAGATTTAGCAGGTACACAGCACTGTTAAAGAGCTCGGTGATGATTTATGGCACAAGGAAAACACATGCACAGCTGAGACAACAAACACCTCTATCAGGAAAACATACTTTCCTGCTTTTTCATGACCTTGGGCTAGGTACAAAAGGGAAAAGGTAAAAATAGCCCCTGATCATTAGATCATTAGACCTAAGCTATCCTTTCCACCTTCCTAGTTCCAATTATTTTTAGCAGTTAAAACCAAGTCAGCATGTTGACTCAGGATACAAAATAAAAAAGCAGAATTCACTGCACAGATTCGGAAACTGGCGCTCCTATCTGTACCAAGCCCTCCAATCTTACTGGGGGGAAAAAATTATGTTAAGAGGAAAGCTTGTTTTTTAGTACAAACTATTTATGGATTCTTCTCCGATTTAGATATTATAATTAACATATTGACATTTTTCTCCCAATAAATTTCAAGTTCCTTTTTATCTACAATAAATAAAGGTAAGCAAAATACTTAGGATACATTTTGGGTTCCAACAGAATTTAAGGCCTAAGAGAACGGTGTAACTATAGAGCAGTGCCACCGTATTTTATTTTTAAATGTTTTACTTTTACTGGTATCCAGTATATGAGGAGAAATGCTAAATAAGCAATCAACTGTCTGAATTTATTTGGCTCAAGTATAAAATTGATGAGCAAGCATCTGTTGGTCTCAAGTCCTGCAGACCGTTGTTTGTTTCTTGGCTGAGGGAAAAAGAACTTTTTATGCAACAGGGCCTAGAACAAGGGCATAAAAAATGACAGTGACTGGAGGTGGCTGAGTCTGTGGAGGGGACTGCAGAGCTGAAGTTGCAGTTTTCCATGAGAGGCTCGAGAAAACTTGGGGTTGTTCTGAAGGCCCAGGTGACAATGTACAAGAGTTGGGCAAAGCGCTGTTCCTCTCTCTGGTGTCCTGAGGGCTCAGGAGCTGCTGTGCCAGCTGGAGGTCGTAGGGAGGGCCAGGGCAATAGCAACAGAGTCTGGCAAACTCCTTTAACTGGCTCACAGGCGACAGACAAGGATGAGGCCAGAAGAGCAGCTCAGGAGCAGAGCTGTTTCTGAGTACAGGAGACACACTGGGCCTCTGAAAAATACCTGGAAAGACCTTCTGGAGGGAAGTGGAGCCAGAAGCAGAGTGAAGAACGCGCATGCAACTTGGGCTCTCTGAACACTTCCCAGGAAAGTGAGAGGGAGCTGCACTTAAACGCTCTCCTTTAAACCAAGGTTCCTTATGAACCCCGCAGGGCCCGAAGATTGTGAGAGGATGAGCTAACACCACCCTCCTATCTATACCACCCATCAGTCATTTTCACAAAGGTCATCTTGCTCGTGTTTTCTCACTCTGGAAAATATATGCAAATAAACCCTGAGCCTTTCACATCTCACCCCCTCACACCAACTACCAACATGCTCAACTGTCGTTTCCTCTGAGGAACCGTTGGAACAGAGTATTAAGGGACCACAGTTCCACTGAAATATTCCACTAATTGTTGATGAGCTTTGGTGAATTATTGTAACTGAAAATGAGATTCTCGAAGATTAATAAGGGTGAGAAAAATTACCATTCTTGAGGTTCATATGATTTTCTTCCACTCTTTTAATGCAAAATAATTAAAAAAAGAGGAATATTATTTGAGTGCTTGGTATTTATAATGAGTTTTGCAATGCTGGGCAAAAGTATCTTGATTTCAAGCAATTAATTCTTTTTATCTGTTCTCTACACTATAGATACTATTTACACATAAAAACTAGAATTTCATTAATAAAAAGCAACAGCATCTTCAAAAAAGTTATTTAAAAAGAGAGAAATAGGTTTTTGCTCTATTCTTAAAGTCAGGGTCTCATCGTTTAATAAAAATCTCAAATTTTACACTGTTCATGTTATATTCAACATTTTAATATGTTTAATGTTCATATTATTTTATACTTAATTTTAACATTAAGTTTAATCAAAATCATTCCATTAATAACTAAAGTTTTTAGTTTACACTGATGTTCTATTTGATTATTGGCATGTTAAATAGCTCGTAAAAAATGAAAAATTTTAAAAGCATTTAAAAATCCATTACATAAAAGATAGCATCTCTCTGAATTTTTACTTTTTTTTTTCAACATCAAACTAGTTTTTCCAACAAGTATGAAAAATCTCATGATTTGAGAAGACCTACCAATTTCAAACTTTGTCCCAGCAACATTTGCTGTAATTGTTTCTTTCTTTTTCTTCTTTCTGACTTTCCTTTTCATTGTGCTTTCATAGGGCAATTCTGTATTCAGATCCAAGGGAGAGGGTCCCTGAATAACTTTAAAAAAAATGTAAACCAACCAATCACTGACATGACAAAAATTCCATACCAGAGAACACAAATGCCCTCCCCCTAAAAATGTAAAGTTTGAAGTTCTGGTTCTTTAAGAGTCTCTAATAAATTTTAATTCTTAAAAATAATTAGCAGTGAGGATCTGTAACTGTCTATATTTGTCATGTGATTAAGTCACTCTGCTTACCTCTTTCTTGAGGCAGAGATGGCATTGTTGCCCGAGCGATCAGCAAGCAGCGTGTGCTCTGCACCAAGCTCTCGGGAGATCTGGAGGGCGCGCGCGCATGAGTCTAAGTAGGAAACGGCTCCAAACCACTGAAAGTTCCTATCATATTATCTCGGTGGAAGACTCAGATTTCAGGGCAGTGAAGTTATGGGATTAGGAGATACCTGCAGGGATTTTAAAACAAAGCCATTTAGAAGACAACTTTTATGAAATTTTGTGTTATCTGCCAATACTAGTTTTAAAAGTCAAGTAAACATGAAAGTTAATGTGTTCAATCGACAAATGTTTGTTAATTTATTAAACCTTATGTAACATGCCAAGTGATGGTTCCCTGTCCTAAAAAGTGCAGTTTGGAGGAGGCTTTATTTAAGTCACATATATTTACATACAATAAATAACATGCCATCCACAAACAATGACAATGAAAATATTCACTATCATTACTGAACATTTACTATCTTGGGCCACTGACACCACTTAATCCTTCAACAAAGCTATGAGGTAGAAGATTTTATCCCCTCTTACAGATAAGTAAATTGAACACACAAAGGAGAAATCTTTACAAAGAAAGTAAGTGACCAAATGGAGATTCAAATTAAAGATCTCTCTGATGTCAAAGCCGGTGGGATCCCATACAACCTTCAACCTAATGCCATATATTTAACTGCTTTAATTTAACTTAATTTAATTTTATTTACTTTTTAATCTTTTTATTTTTGTTCAAAATATTACAGATGTCCCTTTTTCTCCCCGTTGACCCATTCCACCCCTCCTTCGCTCCCCAGTCCCTCACCACACGATTGTCCGTGTCCTTGGGTTGTGCATATATGCATGTAAGTTCTTTGGTTACTCTCTCCCCCTCCACTTACCCCCCCTCCTCCATCTCTCTCAGGTTCCTCAGTCTGATCCATGCTTCTATGACATTGAATCATTTCTGTTCATTAGTTTATTAAGTTCTTTAGATTCCACATATAAGTGAGATCATGTGATCTTTGTCTTTCTCTGCCTGGCTTATTTCACTTAGCATATTTTCCAGGTACTTCCATACTGTCCCAAAGGGTACGAGATCCTTCTTTTTTATAGCTGCATAGTATTCCATGGTGTAAATGTCCCACAACATTTTTATCCACTCATCTACTGATGGGAACTTGGGCTGTTTCCAGATCTTAGCTATTGTAAATTGCGCTGCTATGGACATAGGGGTGCATATATTCTTTCTGATTAGTGTTTCAGGATTCTTGGGATACATTCCTAGAAGTGGAATCACTGGGTCAAAAGACAGCTCCATTTTTAAAGTGAACCAGTATCACCTGGCCATCATGGCTCAGCAGTTGAGCATCAACCTATGATCCAGAAGATCGAGGTTCAATTCCAGCTCAGGGCACATGCCCGGGTTTTGGGCTCGATCCCCACTGACGGGCCTGCAGGAGGCAGCCGATCAATGACTCTCATCATTGATGTTTTTATCTCTCTCTCCCTCATCTTTCCTCTCTCTGAAATCAATAAATAAAATATTTTTTAAAATAAAAATAAAAAATGAACTAGTGTCAGGTCGAGGCCACATGCTGACAGAATGCAGAGAAAAGTGATTCCTTTTTATGGTGTGTGTGTGATGGGGAAGAGGGGCAGGCAGACTTTATAAAATAGACAACATTTGAATTGTCCCTTTAAAAATGAGAGCAATTTTGAAAGAGAGAAAACGGGAGGAGTCATTACTATGATAATCTTATTTGGGCACACAAAGGAATGAAATAACCATTTTGTAATGAATGAATTCATTTGATTTGGCTACACCTCAACATAACCTATATTACATTTCCCTTATATTTTCATTGCATATATATGCATGTAGATATTTATGCCACCACTATACTATACTGCCTAGTCTCTACTATCAACTTTCTAATTTCTCCCTTCATATTGTAAGAATCATGAGTTCTTGTAAAACATCTTTAAACATAACAAAAAAGTATAAAACCTATTATGATAAACAAAGGTATGATATCAACATCTTTTTCAGGAAATTATCAGGTTTAGTATAAATTCAGAAATACTCAGAAGTTCAGCTACATAAAATATGACTCATATACAAGACCCCAAATAGTCATTATTAATAAGATTCATTGTTAAAGAAAATTTAGAGCTTAATTTAAGGTATCATTTTTTTAAATTTACCTTTATTGTTGAAAGTATTACAAATGTCCCTCTTTTTCCCCCCCATTAACACCCCCCCTCCCGCACCTCTCCCAGGCCTTCACCACTATTGTCTGTGACCAGGGGTTATGCATATATGCATATCATTTTTACTAGAATAATTTTCTAGAACAAGTCAATCTCAAAACTACAGAAAGATTATTTATTACAGACCAACTGTGGGCAGGTACTGTGTCAAGAATCTAAAATATTTTACCTCATTAACAAACTGAAGACTTAGGTATCATTTCCCCCAGTTTTCCAGATATGGAAACAATGGCTAAATAAGTTAAATAAATCAGGGTAATAGCTTATAAGTAGAAAAACTTAGGCTTTGAACCCAGTTCTGATTATCCTATTCATCTATTCACTAAGCCCCACTATTTTCAGACACTATACTAATATGTCATATAGATGTGAAAGAAGTTTGCAAGCCTGCTGGGGTACATATATGGGTGTATTCTGGGAATTCACAATACTTCAAACCAAACAGTAAAATCACAGTAAGTATCCCTAACCTGACCTCAGCTCCCAATTCCAAGCTGGAAATAGACTAGGTCACTTTTCAGAATAAAAGCAAGGAATACTCTAAAGTTCAGATTGATTTATTTCTGGAAGCTCTCTGATACCCCAGGGAGGTAGCTATTTGAGTTTACAAGTCCCTGTCCAACATCTTGTTACCGGAGTAAACAAAGATCCTCTTATGGTAACAGAGTACTTATTACATTGAAAGTAGGTGACAAAGTCAACAGAAGTTTAAGAACAATGTTTGCCTAACTATACTAACAATAAATTAGCATTTGTAATAAGCTCTAAAGGCAGATTTGTTAATTTCTGACAAATAATGAAGCAAAGGTCTTTGATTTGCATACAGCTCAAACAAGAACTATTATCCTTTCCCCCATCCACACAGGAAGTTAAAGGCCTTAAAACTATTCTACCCATTTATATGCTTTAATTCCATTTACGGTTTGGTGTACAACAATACAAGTGCTTTAACAAAGTCAAGAACTCGATTCTACCATCCCAATTTTAATCATTTCACTTTATTCTAAGTAAGAGATTTGAGATGGCAGATAGATCACGCCACTCAGATAAGCCATGGTTACCTACTTTCCAAAAGTGGAAAGCATGTTTCAGTTACTTCCGAAATACTTTAAGCCAATGGTTTCTTAAGGTTGGCTGCAGAGTTGAATCACCTGAGGAGCTTTTAAATATCCGGTTCTGAGGCCTCACCCGAAATGCAGGTGGGGTCCAGGCATCGTTATTGTTAAAGCTCTCCAAACGATTCTAGTGTGCAGCCAAAGTGACAGCATCAGCTGTAAACACATAATGGCACTGAAGCAAATAACAGTTAATTAAAAAATATATATATAAAATTATAAGAAAAGAAAACTCTTGTAACTATATAAAAAGAAAGTCAAATAGATTGAAATCACCTGTTTGATTTAAAAATGGAAAAATAATATTTTCTATATTACTTTTACATTTTTAAGTGAAAAAAATCCTCATGTCTTGTTCAACTAAACAAATTGGGGAAAAGAATTAGAAGATCAACAGATATCAATTCCTAAGAAAAAAAAACAATATTATTTTGCAAAGAAAGAATCCATTTCCAAAAGGAATCAATTTTCCAAAATTTCAGGCAAACTGTAACCTTGAATGTAGAACTACAAGTGCTACCACGCAAACCAGTAGATGCACAAGACTGAAACACCACAAAAAAGCATTCCAATCCATTTGTGCTGGAGTATTCTTCCCAGCTCTTCCCCTTGAATTTCTCTCTATCACTTAAAAGCCAGAAAATCTACTTTTTCCATAAAACTTCCTCTGATCATGTCTGAAGACATTCGTATGTCCTTCTTCTGGTCTATCACAGAGACTGTTACTTGTCCCCTTATCACATCACCAACCACAACACCAAGAAGGAAAGCTTCATGAAGACAGTGGTGTTCATCTATCATGTTCACTCCTCCACCCAGAGGCTAGAATAGTGTCTGACACTGTGCTCAACAAGCACTTGTACATGAATTTAAAAATCAATCAATTAATTAAAAACAGCTGAGAGTAAGGAGAGGTGGTCATGGAGCTCTGAGAAGCAAATACGTATCATTTACAATACATTAATTTTACATTTTTAAGTGAAAAAAGGTAAAGNGCTGTGCTCAACAAGCACTTGTACACATGAATTTAAAAATCAATTAATTAATTAAAACCAGCTAAAAGTAAGGCGAGGTGGTCATGGAGCTCTGAGAAGCAAATACATATCATTTACAATACATTAATTTTACATTTTTAAGTGAAAAAAGGTAAAGTACATAGAAGTTTACAGTTGGGGAAAATGATACAAGAATATATGGGATATATGCACAGAGTAGTGGTGGCCTGTGTGGCTGGGGAAGCGCTAAGGAAGACTTAGATTTAGTACTCTGTGCATGGTGGAACCAAATTCAAAAAGTTAAATATATGTGATAAAAGACTGTGTCAATATTATCTTGTTGATAACAAAAAAACATCAAATTTTGTATTTCATTAGATGAATGTATAACATGGTAGAAAGAACACTGAACAAGAAGTCATTTCGAATTAGTATCCCTTACTCTGCCCCTTACCACCTAGATAATTTAATTTCTTAATATTCAAAAGGAAAAAACTGATTCTTTCCAGCCCTGAAGTCTATGATGCTAAACCATGAAGACAGCACTGTTGATATTTTTTATGACAACATGTAAAAGACAAAACATCGTCTGTGCAAATCACATGAGGGAAACAGACCTTCCCCAACAATCCTCCAAAATCCATGCCCAGTGAATGATATATATGGGCTCTTTGTAAATATTTGTGGAATTCTGTGTATATAGGTTACTAAAGTAATCTAACAAAAAGTCAGTGAGAACCAGTATTAGGGCTAAATTGAAAATATGTAAAATAATATTAAATAAAAAGTTAATGAAAGCTGTTTATGGTGAGA